AAGTTAACAATAAAATACTTTTTTCTTAAAATCTATAAAGGGCCCTTTTATTTTTCAAAAATAACCTCTGCGACAGTTATTATTTTACACTCTGTACATAAGCACCAATATTTCTTAGAGTGTTCCTACAATTATTTAAAATACAAATATAAAATACGAATTTTGTATTTTTTATTTAAGTACTCTTTACTTTTTTATATAAGGTATTTGAATTTGGATTCAATTATTATTTCAACTATGTACTTTTAAAATCTCTGCTCGTAAGTTTCATAACAATATTACATATACAGTAGCTAAAATGTAAATAGGAATGCGACATCTTAACAAGTTTTGGCAATTTTTCTTTTGTTAATTTAATGTTTATTTTTTTATGAAAGTTTAGCTCATTATCTAACAAAAACCATGACCTTGATCTTTTACTTGAAGCCACCACAAGTAGTCGTAAGAGGCGCACCTACAAAAGGGCCCTTAAACTAAGGGAATCAAAATTGTGGAAGCATACAAATTACGGGCACGTAGTGGTCTTGTGGGTAATTACTAGCGGATAGCGTAACGGAATCAAGGTCGACTTAGATGTTAAAACGGATTACCTCACGTCATCCTGGGATTTTAGACTTAACATGAATTATGCTATTTCTATCTACACCGATAGCTCAAAAATGGAAAAAAGGAACCTTCGGTTCTGTACTCGATATAGACTGCTTGATAACAGCGACCTCTTTCAGGTGAATATTTAAAGAACTATGGCCACTAGGCTCTTTTCGTGATGCGGCCCCCCTGGGAGTACTAAGCCAAACGGCGGCCACGCGTCTCTTTCCGATTTTAGTCTTTTAAAGTTGTAAAAATAACCCAACTAACGTAAAAATTACGATTATGTTTTTCTAAACAATCTAAAAATACATGCCCTGTAAATTTTAAACCACGATTTATGTATATTTTTTGTTTTGCATAGTAGAATGGGTATTGAATGAAAAAAAAAAACTTTTTTATTTTTCACGTATGTACATACATGCATATGTACAGAGCCGGACAAAATTATTTCTCGCAAGGTATGCAAAGTTCTTTATTCTAATCTTTTTCGCAAATTTTTTATACGATGTATTTCATACTCCAACAAAACACATAAAAATAAAATATCTAAAATGTGTGCAAAGCTCAGGAAAATTCAATGCACACTAGTTTGAAACTTTCTAATCAGATTTTTCAGAAAAATTATAAGTATGCAGTTCTATAGCCCATTCTATTTTAGTATAACAAAGTGCAAGTTTGAAGTTGCTAAAAAACGCGTTTTTGCAGATTTTTTGCGGATGGTGTTATTGTAAATGTTTTTAAGAAAAAAATAATAATTTTTTCGTCTGTCGCTTTTAGAACTGGTTCTGAACTGTAGATTTTATGACTATTTAATTCGGAACTATCGAAAAAGGGATGCAGCGAGGGGCAATTGGCACTTCGTAGGACATGGCCATGTTTAATTCGCCAGTTGCTAGCATGCAAAAGATAAATAACGCGCACTAGTTATGGTTCTAAATGCTATTGTACAGAACCAACCACTTCGTCACTAGTGCGTTTTCCGACAGGGACTCTTAAATGTTTATACC